ATGGCTACAGTCTGGTCATCATGTAATTAACTTCTTCTACCTGGTGGGGGCTTCAGTATCTACAAAACAGCTCAAAGGACATGGCTCAGAATATTATCTATAGCCCTTGAGGAGGAACTAAAGGTCCTTGACTTTGCTGAATGACTACACTATTATTATTTAGTCTTGTTGGACTGCTTTCTTTGCTTCTGCATTTTCTCACTTCTCTAATTAAACTAATTCTTTAGCTAAAGTTTTTCCACAGACAAAAGGCAGGTGGAGGACGTGGAGGGGAAGGACCACAGGGTCCTGCTCCATTTCAGCTGCACCAATTTACATTCCCACCAACAGTATACAAGGGTTCCCTTTTCTCCACAGCCTGTGCATGCTTTCCTGAAAGCACTGAAATAGTATGGAAATTATCCGTGTCTCTCAACCCAACCAGTGTATGAATATTTTGAGAGAGTAAGAACTGAGCCTCATGCATCTATAGCCTTAGCCCCTGGGGCAGCACTTTTGTAGAGTCAGTGCGTAATAAATGTCAGTTGAGTGAATGAACAAATGATGCTCTGTTCTTCTTTACGTTCTCCTTATTTAATCCCTGTAGATCATTTCCTTCCTTCCTCCCTTCCTTCTTTTTTGAAAAAATAACCTACATCTCTTTATTTTTTTCCAGCTTTATTGAGATATAATAGGTAGATAGCATTGTGTACATTTAAGGTGTACAACCTGATGATTTGATATGCGTATATATTGTGAAATGATCACCACAATAAAGTGAGTTATCACCTCCATCATTTCACATAATTAATATGACCCTGCAGATCATTGCTCTTCTTCTACAGATAGGCTCATCCTCACAGATGAAGGCGAGGAACCTGCCCTTTAAATAAACCTGCCAGAATTCTGATGTCTGAGGATGTCTGAATGAGCATCCTCTCTCTTGCAGCACCAGCATGGCACTCTCCATGCTTGCTCCAGAGGTGACTATGGCTGTGGCCGTCAGTATCAGAGGCACGTTCCTTACATATCCTCAGTGGTCATAACTCTGTGTCATTTCAGAGCAGATTTCATTTTTGAAACCAGCTCCAAATAATTTGGAGTGAAATCTGATAAAAGGAGGTGAGTGACCTAACTTGAGAATGTCATTTTAGATTTAAAAGAAAGTCGTGGATGCCTCGAATCAGAGGCAGTTCCCAAGGAGGAATTCCAAATTAGTTGTCAGCGATGGCAATGTCAAGGGAATAAGCCTATAGACTTTAGGGGAGAGAGGACTCATTTATATTTGTAAATTCTACTGTATGGGTTTGAAAATCTCTTCAATACAGAAACAAACCTTTCAGAGCTGTATTCAAATAACAAATAAGAATGATACATTCAGTCCTCTGAAAGGTACTTTCTTTTCTGGCCAGGCCCCAGCTCAGGCTCCCAAGTTGGTCCTCCTGCAGCCACTGATAACATCACGGGCACCTCCAGACCCCTTCCTGCCATTGTTCTGGGTGTCATTGATGTTAATCAAACGGGGAAGGAAACACAATTCAGAGCTCACAAAGCGAAGGGGAACTGATTTTCAAGTTCATGACTTTCAAATCCATGGCACAAAAGCATATGTGTTTTAACTAACTAGGTATGTGAGGATGGAGTTACTGTTCTTAAATCTGTTCTTTTAATGGGAAATGCTTTTTAATTAGCGTTTTTTGAACTTATTTTACTGCACAAAGAGGTTTGTTCCCTTGCATTTTTGGTTTAATGCCTTCCTACATGGAAGTGTGAAAAGAATGTGTAAATAAGCCCCTGGAAAATCAAAGGTCTCATTAACTCTGCGTCTTACTTAATCCAGCAAATGTTTATTAAACACTCGTATGTTCCAGGCAGTGTAGTAGGAGCTGGAAATAGAAGCAGAGTAAGACATGGTGCCTCCCCTAAAGGAATTTGCAATCTGATAATAGGATTGACAAACACACAAATAAATGTCAGAATAAGGTGCTAGCAGAGAAGTGTAGGAAAGAGGTAGCCTGGGAGGATGGTAGAAGACTTAGATCAAATGACATTTGAGTTTGATTTTAAAGGGCAGACAAAATCTTAGCTGAATTGGGGATTGTAGGCAGAATGGAAATCCAGATGGAAGGAAGAGAATAAGACCTGGAAAACGCAGGGGATCCTGGAGAAATGGTGCCTAAACCAGTCTCCCTGACCATTGGTGTGGGGAAGAGTAGAAGCATAGTCGCTGAGAGAGAGAATGGGAAAGAATGGATGCCTGAACCAGTCTCCACTCTTATTAAATGGGATTCCTCTTCCCTTCGCTTTTCTCTCAGACCTGACTGATTTCAGGCAGCTGCCCTGCAGACCTGAGAGAGAACGTCTTAATTCACTACTCTTCCTGTATACAGTGGTCCCTCAGTATCCGCGGGAGATTGGTTCTAGGATCTCCCTCGGATACCAAAATCAGAGCATGCTCCAATCCCTTGTAGAAAATGGCGTAGTACAGCTAGCTCTCCGTATCCGCGGGTTCCGTGTCCACGGATTCAACCAACCGCAGATCAAAATGGGTTTGGTTGAATCTGTGTTGTGAAACCCACAGATCTGGAGGGCCGACTGTGTAGCTACATCTTGAAAAGAAAAACCTTAAAAACACACTTATTGGAATTGCTGTTTTACAGTGGAATTTTATACCTTGAGCAAGAAGCCTATAAGGAACGTACTTTTGACCAGGGAACATTGTTGGAGCACATAATCACAGTGGATAAGTGAGCACTGAAGAGGGTCTCTGTCTAGGGGTGTGAGTTTGGGGAGCAGGTATAGGAGGCTGCAGGTATAGGAGGCCTGTGGAGGGCTTGATGGCTCTACGTCTTATCTTGGTATCCCCCAGTGAACTTCATTTCTCCCCAGTTGCTTTATTTATGTGCCCATCTCCCATGTGTCTCCTCTCCCATCTTCTTCCTTTAACTCTACTGGCTTTTTCCAGATCCAATACCATCATACATACGCCATATGGCATGATGCTATAATTTGGCAAAAACCAGTAAAGTGAAATTAAAGTCTCCTTTATACTGCCCTTTCCCTTCCCTTTCCTTCTGTTCCTAGTTAATGTACTTTGTGGTTCTGAGGGAGGCTCACACAGCTGGTAGCCTGTGGAAGGAGCCATAAAATGATGTAAGATGCCACTTCAGGAATAAACACATTGATCCTGCAAAAGGCCTGAGCTTAACTGTGTAAAGGAAATCCAGGAGAGACCTGAAACAGACGAGTCCATTGTGATTGTGTTGTTTGGCATTAAAGTAGATCTGTTTTACCATATGTCACATATCCGGTATCTCCAAGGCATGAAGTATTCCACTGAAGCACGTTTTCAAAATAACTGAAGGTTATCATATCAGGGGTAAAATTAACATCTTTTTATTAGAATCTTTATAAAACATGATCACTCTCTTGCCTTCATTTTGTGTTAGAATATTATAGAAAGAATATAAGAACAACCTTCAGGTACATTTTTTCCCTTTGTTTTAAACAAAAACAAGTTTACAGAAAAGTTGGAAATACTGTACAGAAAACTTGTTTCCCCTGAACCATCTAAGAGTAAATTGCTCACGTAATGCCTCATCATTCCTCTTGATACTTGTTATGGGCTGAATTGTGTCCTCCCCAAATTCATATATATTTTTTAAATTTAATTTATGTTGTTTGAATTTTATTTTATTTATTTTTTTATGCAGCAGGTTCTTATTAGTTATCCATTTTGTACATATTAGTGTATACATGTCAATCCCAATCTTCCAATTCATCACACCACCACCACCGCCCCCCCCAAACAAAATTCATATGTTGAAATCCTAATTCCTGGGACTTCAGAATGTGAGTGAATTTGGAGATAGGGTCCTTAAGGAGGCAATTAAGTTAAAATGAGGTCCAATGTGACTGGTGTCCTCACAGGAAGAGGAAATTTGGACACAGACACGGTACATAGGGAAGACGATGTGAAGACACAGGGAGAAAATGACCATGTACAAGCTAAGGAAAGAGGTCTGAAACAGATCCTTCCTTCATGGCCCTCAGAAGGAACTAACCTTGCTGACACCTTGACCTTGGACTTCCAGTCTCTATAACTGTGGTTTTGGAGGTTCTAAAATATTTCTCTGCCACATTATGACCAATAAAGTTAGATAAACCTCATTCACCTTGGTAGATTAATTTCATGTGTGTTTAGTATTCTTTATGTGAGACAGCCTGGAGGATTAGAAATGACATAGGCTTTGGAGTTGGATGGACCTGGCTTGGAATCTTGATGTGACTCATGTCTACCTGTGTGCCATTGTACATGTTGCTTAATCTCTCTGAGCCTCAGTTTTCAAATACGTAAAATGGGAATTAGAGTGTACTCCTTATATTAATAGAATTGCATAGCTGTTATCATTTTTATTTCTAGTTTAGAAAATAGGAGGGAGCTGGATAGGACAGCAAGGAGGTCTCTTCCTTTCCCTCTGTTTCCTTAATTTCTTTCCTGCCCTGCTCTACTAGTTCACTTCTCACAGGAACTATCTTTACTACCTCTTCTATCTTCCTTGTTAAGCCTTCAATGTCATCCTCATTTCTATATAAGGATAGGATCTTCAGGGCTATGCTGTTACATCATGTTCTTTCATAAGCATCAAGAAAATCATGGCGAAGGCTTTGATCTGGCTGAAATCTGTAAACTGGTGATTTCTCTCTTTCTAGCCCATCTTCTTTTCTGAATCACTAGAATAATTTGAAACTCCCTATATGTGTCATTGGTACAATGTTAAGTAGCATCTAGATTTCAATGACCATTATTTGTCATGGTCAGGACTTTATTGAGGATGGAGTTGGTGAGGCACTTAGGCTCTCAGTGGTTCCTCACTAGGAAGATTCAAGGACACAGCCCAATGAGTACATTCTGTTTGTTTCTGGCCGACTTTCCTTGTCAAGTGAGCTAAAGGTCAACTATTTATTAAGGTGGAGCAACAGCGAGGTGAGCCTTGGCTGAGTCATAGGTTGGGAGTTGGAGCACCTTGAAGCTGGCGATGGTTGGGTCCAAGTAAATTTGATTTATTTCCCACTGTTGCTGTTTTCAAAAGCATGAGGACGACAGGGAGAGGAGATGAGAATCAAGAGGAGAGAAAGCAGGGGAGGAGAAAGGGAAAAAGGTAAGGAGGAAAGAGAGGCAAGAAGGAAGCAGAACTGTCTGAGTGCCCTTTGTACGCCAGGAGCCATCTTACGCATCTCACACTATTATCTTGTTTGTTCCTTAAAACCATCCTGTAGAGCAGCTATGACTCATGTTTGTTCAATATCTGTTTTGTGCCACACGCTGTGCTGTAGGCGTGGTGATGTCATGATGAATACTTCCTTCACATCTGCCTGAACACGAGGAGTTGACAGTCTAGTAGGGGATTCTGATGTTGAGATAGTTTCCATTCAGGGGCCTTGGGTATGTATACAGGACAATGAAGGTTTTTTAGGCGGGAGTAATCTATGCCACCTGGGGAAGGAGGTCTGGAAAGAATAAGGTGAATGTGGGGAGGGCCTTCTAGGTGGAGGGAGCAGTATATGCAGACTCATGAAGGCGTAGAAGATCGTTATGTGGCTGGAACGCAGGGAGTGAGGAGAGGAGTGGTTTGATCATGGTGGGCCTTCTAGGCCCACCCAACAAGTTTGGGTTTCATCCTGAGGGGGAGATACCTTAGCAGAGAAGTAAGTTGATGAAATTTGTCTTTTAGGTAAGTTCCTTTGACAGTATTGCAGAGAATGAGTTGGAAGGAGTTGAGGGTGAAGCCTGGGAGACCCCAGAGAGGATAAGAACAGTCTAGATGCAGGGTGATAAATGCCTAAACAGGACATTGAAGGTGAGAAAAAGCCATGGACTCAATCAAGTAAATACTATAACATAATAGAATGTAATGATTGACTGGATGATGGAGGGGAGGATGAGGGAAATTGAGGATAACCTCGAGCTACTGGGTAGGGTGATTGGGATCTTGATAGGTTCGTTACCTAGTGCTGGAAATTAGTGTTAGAGATCGGTCCGGGCAAACACCCCTTTCTGCCTCACTATTGAAGTTGCCAAGGAGGCAGCAGCAGCAAACTCGTTCCTGTTGGAACCAGTGTTGGGGATGGAGCACGCAGATGAGGGTCTCTCTCCTCCTCTTCTGAATCCAAATATTGGAGTCCCAATATAGATGTGGGAGAAAGCTGGCCAAGTCAACTTGCCCATCCAGCCGTAGGCACAAGTGAGGTAGAAAAGCAAGAGAGGGGAAGAATACACAGACTTTTAATTTATAGTAATTTCAGGCCACCAGTAAACGTGGCTCAGTCTATGTCTTGGATTGAGATCAATCTGTTTTACAGCTCTTCCGCTTTGAGTGGGGTGGATGGAAAAGTAGGAGGTAAATGAAAAAAAAAAAAGGGGCAAAAATTTCCTTTCTATGTATCCCGGAGAAGAAATATAGAAGGAGAAATAGGCTTGGGACAGGGAGATGATAATCATTTCATTTTTGACATGCTGAGTCTAAGATGACTCTAGAAAATCCAGGTGGTTACGTACAATACAAAGTCAAAAATAGGATTCTGGAGCTCAGGAGGGAGGTCTGGGCTAGAGTAATGGGTTATGGCATTTTCAACAAATGGTAAAGTCTTGTCTGTGGTTGACAACAGGGCACAAAGAATGACGAGCATTGGGAACACTGGGAATTAAGGGACAAGTGAGGAAAATGAGCTCATGATGGTGAGTGATGAGAAATTAATAGTTAGGAGGAAAACCTGGGGAGTGTGAGGTCTGGGAAGCTACAGGAAGAAAGTGTCTCTAGAAAGGGTTATTAATAAGGTATAAGGACAGGTAAGGAGAATGACCTGAGACAGCTACAAAGAGAAACTGGAGAGAGAGAAGAAGCAGGATGAGTAAAAGGAAAGCATTTTCCAGCTGCCCCGAGAGTACACCTGAGAATGGAAACACCATCCATCATTAATCATGGAGCCTGTTTCCATGGAAATGCCACTTTCTTCAGCAATGGTCTGTAGTCAGGTTACAGCATTGGCCCAGGATTGGGGATCTGATGGGTGGATGTGGTGAAAGGACAAAGGGACCAGAGCTGAAAATGATGGGTTCAAGTTCAAAAGGAAAGGAACAAGTTTCAGGTGAGCTTGAGAGACTGTATCTAACTGCAGGGTTCCAGAGACTCTCCTGGGATCTCTGTAGAATAAAAGAGTAGACTTAGAAGAGGAGAGGTAGTGGAAAGCAGGAAGGCGAGGAGATGGTGGGTGTAGACCAAAGTGTTAAGAGTTTAAGGTTTTAGAGACAGAACCGCTCCTCATGATGACAAGGGCCACCACTGGCCATGGGAGTAGATTACAGATGGGAAAGGGAGTTGGCAGTTTATTGCCATTGAGGTTAAGGGATTAAGAGGCTAGGGTGTTAGATGTGCTGCCCATGTGTATATTGAATTCATTTAAGGTGATGGCAGGCGCTAAGGTGGAGAGGAAGACAACCAGGGGTCAGAGTGCCCAAGGAATGTAGAAGCATGACACTCACTTTAGTAATTATTAATGAGAAGGGTGAAAGGAGGACTAATAAAATGGCCTGAACTTCAAAAAAAGGGATTTGGTATAAGGAGGTAAACATAATATCCTGGTAACATTATTAGAGAATTAAGAGAACGCTAGCACTACCTCTGGTGTCCATATAGAACCCAAAAAGGGTTCTAAGGAATTGAATATTTTTAGGGAAGAAACAGGCTTCAAGAAGTCAAGGACATAGAGAGAGAATTATAGAAGGATAATGTCATTCTGAAGGTTGTTTATATTGCATTTGGTATTTTCTGTTTCATGGACTCTTTTCTACTATTTACCATTCATACATCGTTTAAATTACTATAGCTCTATAATAGAATTTAATTTCTGGTGTTTCAAGTCCAACTTTGCTGCTCCTTTTATCCCTCCAAAATTTTGCAGCTATTTTCACTTAGTAAAATTATTCCCCTGTCATTCTGATGAGAAATTATATTAAATGTATACTTGGGTATAAGTGATACCCTCACCTTTTGTTGTAGGTCAAGTTTCCTGGGAAGATGAACTTGGAGAAGGAGATGCAGGGGCAGTATGTTTATTAGGGAGTATTCTGAGGGTCAGTACCTATTGGGCATGAAAGAAGTGGGATTGGGCAGAGGAGGGGGTTGAACTGTAATGAAGTCATGACAAAGGCCTCCGCTGACCCCAGGGGAGCTCTGGAGCAAGGATGGAACTTCGTAGTTGTCCCATATTGAGACCAGTGGACCAGGCCTTTGTAAAACTTCCTACCTCACCACTGACCAGTCATTAGATGAGAACTACCCCGGGAGAGCAGGTGGCTTTCTTCAGTTGAGGGAAATTCCTGGAGAACAGCACAGCTAAGAGCCATCAGTAGCCCATGCTCTCAGCAGCTCAGGGAATAAGTGCCTTGTTCCCTAAGTGGGAAACCTGGATGGTACATCATGGCATCTGCTACAACAAAACGGGAACATACTGTGTCTCCTCACTTATTCAAATCTGCTTTTTTCCAAAGGTGTTCAAAGATTCCAACCATCATAAAGACAGTTTTTTTTCATACACTGCCCACCACACTGCTTGTTACATTTATTATAGGTTATTTCATATTTTGTGTTGGAATGTTGAATGAGACATTTTCCCATTGTATTCTCTAGCTGGTTATTCCTACTGTGTAAAAACAGTGTATATGGGTTACTGTATTTATTTTTTTATTTATTTATATTTTTTCAGCTTTATTGAGGCATAATTGATACACAATGAATTGCATGTATTGAAAGTGATACATGGGAATTCACTGGTGGTCCAATGGTTAGGACTCCACGCATTCACTGCCTAGGGCCCAAGTTCAATCCCTGGTCGGGGAACTAAGATCCCACAAGTTGCACGGCCAAAAGAAAAAAAAAAGTGATGCTTAGATGAGTTTTGACATAAGTATACATTTATAAAAACATCTCCACAATTATCACCCCCAAAAGCTTCCTTATATGTCCGTTTGTCTTCCACTGGCCCAAGGCAACCACTCATCTGCTTTCTGGCACTATAGTTTGCATTTTCTAGAATTTTAAATTAATGGAATCCTACAGTATGTACCCTTTCTTGCTTGTCTGCTCAGCATAATTATTTGGAAATTCATCCATGTTGTTTTGTGTATCAGTAGTTCGTTTCTTCTTATTGCTATCTAGTATTCTATCATGTGGATAGACCACAATCTGTTTATCCATTTACCTGCAGGTGGAAATTTGCTTATTGTTCTCAGTTTTTGGCAATTACACATAAAGGTGCTATGAATATTTACATACAAGTCTTTGTGTGGACATGTGATTTCTTTTCTCCTGAGTAAATATCTACAAATGGAATGGCTGGGTCCTGTGGGAGGGATGTGTTTTAACTTTTTTAGCAAACTGTCCAACAGTTTTCCAAACAATTTTCAAAATGATCGTGTCATTTTACATTCCCACTAGTGGTAAATGAGAGCTCCAGTTCTACCATAACCTTTAAACCTTTGGTTTAAATTTTAGCCATTCTAATAGGTATGGATTCGTATATTATTGTGGTTTTAGTTTGTGTTTCCTTAGTGGCCAATGATGTTGAAAAGCTTCTCATGTATTTATTGTATTTATTTTTACCAGATAGCCAACTGAACTGTCTATTTCTAAAATACCTTTATTGAATTAATTGGGTTTTCTAGGTTCACAAATAAATCACATGCAAGTAATGATATTTATTTCCTTCAATAATGATGTCCCAATTCCTTTTTTTCTTTGTCTTATTTCATTGGTGACAACATAAACAATAGTAGTATCTTTGTCTTTTCCCTGACTCTGACAGAGTCAGTTTCATATTAAAAGTTGATATTTACTGAGCTTCCCTGGTGGCGCAGTGGTTGAGAGTCTGCCTGCCGATGCAGGGGATACGGGTTCGTGCCCCGGTCCGGGAAGATCCCACATGCCGCGGAGCGGCTGGGCCCGTGAGCCGTGGCCGCTGAGCCTGCGAGTCCAGAGCCTGTGCTCCGCAATGGGAGAGACCACAGCAGTGAGAGGCCCGCGTACCGCAAAAAAAAAAAAAAAAAAGTTGATATTTACATTAGAACGTTTAATTCTTTACATATACTTGTATTCCATCTTTATTTGCTAAGATTTTGTTAAGAAGTTTACCTTTACAATTATTTAAATAATTACATACGTTTCTCTTTTTCCCCTTTTAGATATAAAAATGGAATCAAACTCTATGCAATATTTTCTAATTTTTTGTGGGCTTTTATGATGAGCATCTTCCCATGCATTTAATATCATTTCATAACATTATGATTGAAGGCTGCATAATATTTTATTTTATAGAGGTACCATAATTTAGTTAGCTAGACTTCTATTATAGGACATTTAGGTTATTTATACTTTTTCTTTTGCTATTATAAATTTTGTTGAGATAACTATTCTTGTATTTAAATTTTGGTGTACATCTAGTCCTATTAACGTAGGCTAAAATTTCTAGTTTGCAATGCTACATCAGAGTCTGAACATTTTAAGGCTTTTGATATTTACAAGGAAATCTCTCTCAAGAAAGCTAGTAGCCATTTATACGCTTACCAACATTCTAATCTGTTGCAGCAATTAGATAGATGACCGATGCTGCCTCTGTCATTTTCGTTTGCCTTGGATTACTCTGAGTTCTTTAAATGTGTATTTATTTTTTGTTTTCTATTTTAGTGCTTTATTTCCTTTACTTTCTGTCTTCTGTTATATGTATAGTTGATCCACATTATTTGAGGATTCTGTATTTGTGAATTTACCCATTAACTGGAATTTATTTGTAACCTCAAAATCTACACACATGGCATTTTTGCAATCGTATACAGACACGTGCAAAGCAGTGGAGAATTTCAGTTGCTCGAAATACATGTTCCTTGCTGAGGTCAATCCAGGGAATGCTCTGCCTTCTTGGTTCAGCTCTGATTGTAACAAGCATCCTTTGTGTGGTCTATTAGTGCCATCAAGTTTTTGCATTTGTGTGCCTTTTGTTGGTGATTTCATCATTCAAATGGTCCCCAAGCCTATTGCTGAAGCTCTTCCAAGCACAAGAAAGCTGCGATGTGTCTTTTGGAGAAAATATGTGCAGTAGATAAGCTTTGTTCAGGCATGAGCTATATATAGTGCTGTTGACTGTAAGTTCAATGTTAGTGAATCAACAGTATATATTAAATACCTCATTTTATTATGCTTCACTTTATTGCACTTTGCAGATACCATGTTTTTTTTACAAAGTGAAGGTTTGTGGCAACCTTGCACAGTGGAGCAGGTCTACTGACACCATTTTTCCAACAGTGTTTGTTCGCTTTGTGTCTCTATGTCACATTTTGGTAATTCTTGAAATATTTCAAACTTTTTCATTATAATTATAATTGTTATGAGGGTCTGTAATCAGTGATCTTTGATGTTACTACTATAACTTGTTGAAGTATCTGCAAAGTGCAATAAAGTGAAGCACAATAAAATGAGGTATGCCTGTATTTAATATATATTGTTGAAGGCTTCGTTGATAGTTAGCATTTTTTAGCAATGAAACATTTTTCAATCAAGGTGGGTACATGGTTTTTTAGAGATTATGCTATTGTACACCTAATAGACAACAGGAGAGTGTATCCATGTCTTTTATATGCACTGAGAAACCAAAAAATTCATGTGACTTGCCTTATTGAGATAATGGCTTTATTACGGTGGTCTGGAATCAAACATACAATATCTCCTAGGTGTGCTTGTAAAGTGTCTTTAAACAGAAAACATAGAAAATAAAGTTGTGTATTGACCAGTTGATGAAAATGTTGTGTCCAGAAACTCAAAGGAACATAACCCTGTATTTCCCGTAGGAGCAATGGCTCAGCATTTGGTAATTCAGTGCTCAGGGGGGCTTTGTAGACTATAACTATTGTATATAATGAGAATTGACTGTACTATGTTTTCTGTGGTTTTTCTTCAGTGATTTAGAAGATTTGCTTCAGCTCATCATCATCTTCACTCCCTTCTGAACACTTGCTTCTCAGAATCCCTTACCATCAGGCTTCCAGTTTAGGTTCTGCCAGTGAGAAGTACCCGTGTGAGATTAAGACGGTGGAAGAGCAGAAGGTACGTCTTCCTCCTCCAGCAGGATAGACAGACACATGGGCAGATGGTGGCGTCCTGGTTTCTGTGTCACACGAGGGCTGCAGCAGCTTCACACTGAGATCTCACATGGTGCCTGCTTTGGTGCTTCAGGGAGCTGAGTTGATTGAATGGCAACTTCCTGCAACTTCTGCATAGAATTTCCCAACACTCAACCAATTTTCCCTGACCTCTGCTTGCTTAGATCTTCCAACCATTCTGTAAGCACCCAGTTCCCTGTATTGCATTCCTCATTTGAGATACTAGTTTCTGTTTTCTTGACTGAAGCCTGACTAATACAGTATTGATGCTAGACAAGGTGTGTCTTCTCTGTGAAGGAAGAAGGAAGCACAATTATTTTGATGACCAGAGTGATGGTGCCAAGCAGAATCCACACGCTCTTTTTTTCTTGAGCACACAGCTAAGCGACATTACTCACTTTCCTTGCATCTAGGTGGGGCCTTGTGAGAAGAACCCTTCCCTACTCCCTCCCCACTGCCTGCACTGGAGCCATAAGCAAGAAATACATTTTACTCTGATATATCACTAAGACTGAGGGATTTTTTTCTTTTTTCTTTTTGGCCCCAATATGTGGATCTTAGTTCCCCAGCCAGGGATTGAACCTAGGCCACGGCAGTGAAAGCAGCAAGTCCTAACCATTGGACCACCAGGGAATTCCCAGATTGAAGGATTCTTTGTTTTAGCAGTTAGCCTACTCTAATACAAATGGTATTTTTTTTTTTTTTAACTTTTTGGCTGTGTTGGGTCTTCGTTGCTGCACGGGGCCTTTCTCTAGTTGCGGCGAGCAGGGGCTACTCTTCATTGTGGTGCACAGGCTTCTCACTGCGGTGCCTTCTCTTGTTGTGGAGCATGGGCTCTACGCATGCAGGCTTCAATAGTTGTGGCACGCAGGCTCAGTAGTTGTGGCTCGTGGGCTTAGTTGCCTCATGGCATGTGGGATCTTCCCAGACCAGGGCTCGAACCTGTGTCCCCTGAATTGGCAGACTGATTCTTAACCACTGCACCACTAGGGAAGTCCCCTACAAATGGTATTTTAATATAGTACTGGTGCCTACTTCCTATATATCTAAAAATATCCTTCACTCATAATTCTATTATCACCAATGACAAGAATGAAACAGTACTTATTGATTCCCTCCTAAGTAAGATGAAAAACTCACCATGCTTTTACTTCCATCTACTTTCACTCCTACCTGTCTTTGTTGGTCTAATCTGGAATTGCACTGAGGTTATAATTAATTATTTTTTTGACATTTGCATTCTGTCTTATAATCACATTTTCAATAATTATTAGGCTTTATTCAACACAGAACAGGTTTTAATGTTCACTAGCCATCCTTTCACAGCACAAATTAACCCTGTTGAGTTCTTTATTTGCTGTGTGTGTTGGTTTCTGTAAAAAGCCTTTTGGTACCTGACTTAAGAAAGATCTATAGAGAAGATACACTTTCTGAGTCCTTGAATAGCTGAGACAATGTGTCTTGGTTGTTTTTGATACAGGACTTGACTGAGTCCATAATCTTGATTAACTACCTTATTCCCTCAAAACTGTAATAGTTGGCACATGTTCTTTATCATTTAAGGTGGTTTTATGGGAAAAGTTTGCAGTAGATGGGCTTGCTTTGCTTTTAGGTTACATTTCCCTCTTCCTCAAATGCTTAATAAGTTCTTTATTCTGTCATCTTGATATATACCAATTCTATCACATGTACCTATAGGTGGGTTTTTTGTCATTAACTTTGCTTGGTACTCAGTGAGCCCCTTTGAAATGTTGATACTTTTGCCAGATACACTGCTAAGTGCTCTGTATGTATGACATTATGACAACCCTATGACAAGATAGCTATTACCCCTCCCAATTTGCAGATGATGAAACTGAGGTTCAAGGACTCATAAGAGGTCCAACAACAGAACTGAGATAGGAACTTAGGTCTACTTCACTCCAGGATCTGAGGTTTTAGTCACTATACCATGCAATTTCTTTCAAAGGAAAAAAACTCTTTTATTGTATAATATCTAGCATTCTGCTTTTGTTGCCGCAGTTCCTGATTCTTTTTCAGAGATAAGACATAATAATCGCCCATATAGTGGGTCTCTCTTGTTTAGTCTTTATATCTGCTAGTTTTCATTTTGTCATCCTTTTCTTTTATGTTATCATAGAGCTTAGCAAAATGATTCTTATTTTAAGATTGAGATATAATCAACCCACAACGTATTAGTTACAGGTGTACAACATAATGATTCTATATTTAAATATATTGTGAAATGATCGCCATAATAAGTGTAGTTAACATCCATCACCAGAGTTACAAATTTTCTGCTTTTTTTTAACTTTTAGAACCTACTCTCTTAGGCAAACATTATTTATATTTGGATTATGTTTTCTTCACTTTTTGCCTGCTCTTTCCTGATTCTAATGCAGATTTAATCTTTTAAATTGAATATTTAACTTTTCATTTTTCCCTCCCCATCAATTTCCTTTTCTATTTCTCTGCCTTTTAGCCAGATCCACTGACATCTCAATTCCTCTTCGTTTTTGCTAAAATCTTGTTTTACAGTCTGTTTTCTAGCATTTTCTCCTGTCTCTGTATTATATAGTGCTCCAGAGCCTGCTCTTCCTCTGCATCTTGGAGTACTGCGCTCTCCATCTTTCATGTCTCAGGATATTTTCATAGATACCGTGGAGCTTGTAGTCCCTTCAATGGCCCATTAAAGGCAGGAGGTCTGCCCAGTACCCTTAGTTTCCCATAAACAATCAGAATGGATACTATTAGAATACTCCTGTCAAATCTCATGGTAGGATCCTGTCAACATAAGTTTACATTACTGGTTTAGCAGTACCTTATTCTGAGGACGAAATAAAGACAGTTGATATAGAGGTTGGTGCGGGACATGAAGGGAAGATTTCATTTTGTGCCATTTCTTTTGTCACAGGGTCATCTTTTGGACCTGACTCTCTGTTTAGGCCAGCCTCAATACCTGCAGTTTTACTTGGTAAGTTTGTGATGCTGCGCTCTTGGAAGGAGAACGTGAGCCATTGGCGTGGATAATGGGGGCAGCAGGACAGACCATTTGTGGTAGGTGGTAGCTGATCTCCTATTTCATGTTGTTACCCGGAGAATTGGGGCTATGCCTTCCTCATACAGAAGAATAGCACTGGGACCCAGACAGCTGGTCCTAAGCATAACAGAATCCCACCCCCTCCAGCAATGGCTCAGCCAGGACGGGCCCACACAGCTTCAGAACAGTCGGTTTAATGGCTCTGCAGCCACTCCCATGCCAGCAAACAACAGGGTGATACTGTGACCTCTAAGATTTGGAGCTCATGCCAGATGGTGTATTATGGCTCCACCCCGGGACTCCCATTTCTAGTGTGTCACCCCTCCTCCCTCTACAGGACCCAGCCCCAGCCAGTCATAGGATGCTGTTGAGCTATCAGATGAATTTAATTGAAGCTGGAGAAGTACAACTTCCTACCCTACCTGTGTTGTGTCTTTATAATACAACATGGTTATCTGTGAGGAATGCAGACATTCCCCAGCCTAGAATGGAATTCACATCTCTCTCTCTCTTCCTGTTTCATTCCTTCTGTCACCTACATTCCTGACCTGCCGAATGCTTATTGGACTTAACCACTCTCTATTAGCATTGCAAATGGTAGTCATGTTGATGGTGAAGCAGGAGGCACTGGTACCCTTGCTCCCAAATGTCAGAACCCTTGGCCTGATGTTGGCATCTGCAGCATGGACAGCAACACTGGCCCAGGATGTCTTTTGTTTGCCCTTTTATTTATTTATTTTTTATTGTATAGTTTCTTTTTCTTTGAATTTTATTTTATTTATTTTTGTATACAGCAGGTTCTTATTAGTTATCCATTTTTATACATATCAGTGTATATATGTCAATCCCAATCTCCCTTTTAGATCCACTCTCTACCGCGCGCTATGGCCGGGGGTGGGGAGGCAGTTGAGCCATGTGGTCTCCTTCAGTGGCGTGCTGGAGCCTCAAAAGCTGATTATGTGCATCTGTTCCTAGCTCCATGTTTGGTGACCATGGCAGGAGTATTTACACCATGGAAATCATCAAACACTACCAATAAGCACACACACACACACACACACACACACACAGACTTCAGAGCTTGTTGTTAAATGTTTATTGACCAGCACACCACTGTGGCTATACCAGAATACAGATAGACTCCCTTGCCCTTTGGCTTCTGGTTGGGTTGGCAATTGGGAGGCCCCTGCAGGGGACTGAAGGATGAGAAGAGAGCGCGGTCAGAGTATCCTTTCTCCTGCCTCCATTCCTCACAGGTTCCCACAGATTGGCTGCATCCCTTTACAAAGGTGATAGCTGCTGTCAGGCACCCACTCCATGCATGTACCTCTATAGAATCCAGATATTTCTTCTCCTTCCCTCTTCAAGTCTCTGAGTGTTACTGGCTCCAGGTAATGGATCATCTCTCTCTGGCTTCCGTATACCAAGAGTGCCCTCATTATACTCTCCTCTAATAAGCCATTGGAGTGTGGGTCACTTGTTCCTCCTGTGACCCTGACTAATAGGGAACCTAAATCACATTGCTGTGCAGAGCTGCTTACTTGTTTCCTGGGTGCATCCCTGGGGCTCCGTTTACATAGCAGTTTCCAGGAGCAGTGGTTTTCAAACTCTTTAGAGCCTTGCTTGGGATGTGTTCTTCCAATGAAATCTTACCTCAGAACTCAACATACATATCCTCCTTGACTTACAACATGGTTACATCCTGATAAACACATGGTAAGTTGAAAATATAGTAGGTCAAAAATGCATTTAATACACCTAACTTACTAGACATCCTAGCTTAGCCCAGCCTACCTTAAACATGCTCAGAACACTTACCTTAGCCTACAGTTTGGCAAAATCACCTAACACAAAGCCTATTTTATAGTAAAGTGTTGACTATCTTGTGTAATTTATTGAATACTGCACTGAGAGTGAAAAATAGGATGGTTGTAAGTGTATCAGTTGTTTACCCTCATGATCGCATGGCTGACTAAAAGCTGTGGCTTGCTGGCTGCCCAGCATCACAGAAAAGTATGGTGCCACATATATACAATGGAATATTACTCAGCCATGAAAAGAAATGAAACTGAGTTATTTGTAGTGAGGTGGATGGACCTAGAGATTGTCATACAGAGTGAAGTAAGTCAGAAAGAGAAAAACAAATACCGTATGCTAACACATATATATGGAATCTAAAAAAAAAAAAAAGGTTCTGAAGAACATAGGGGCAGGACAGGAATAAAGATGCAAACGTAGAGAATGGACTTGAGGACATGGGGAGGGGGAAGGGTAAGCTACGACGAAGTGAGAGAGTGGCATGGTCATATATACACTACCAAATGTAAAATAGATAGCTAGTGGGAAGCAGCTGCATAGCACAGGGAGATCAGCTTGGTGCTTTGTGATCGCCTAGAGGGGTGGGATAGGGAGGGTGGGAGGGAGACGCAAGAGGGAGGAGATATGGGGACATATGTGTATATATAGCTGATTCACTTTGTTATACAGCAGAAACTAACACACCATTGTAAAGCAATTATACTCCAATAAAGATGTTTTAAAAGAAAGAGGGCTTCCCTGGTGGCGCAGTGGTTGAGAATCTGCCTGCCAATGCAGGGGACACGGGTTCGAGCCCTGGTCTAGGAGGATCCCACATGCGGCGGAGCAACTGGGCCCGCGAGCCACAATTACTGAGCCTGTGTGTCTGGAGCCTGTGCTCCGCAACAAGAGAGGCCGCGATAGTGAGAGGCCTGTGCACCGCAGTGAAGAGTGGCCCCCGCTTGCCACAACTAGAGAAAGCCCTCGCACAGAAGTGAAGACCCAACACAGCCATAAATAAATAATAATTAAAAAAAAAAAGAAAGAAAAGAAAATTATGGTGCCACACATCCCTAGCCAGGAAGAGCTGAAAATTCAAAATCTTAAGTATGGTTTCTACTGAGTGCATATTGCTTCTGCAGCATCATTAAGTGCGAAAAATTGTTAAGTCAGGGACTCTGTCTATAGACATTAGATAAATAAAGATTCCTGCCTTAAGTGGGGCAAAGGGCTACCTGCTCACCATCCTCCACCGTCATCTCCCACGGCCACCATGGATATGGATACCCTTCACAGGAACCTGCGAGGACCCAAGAAGCACAATTTAAATACCACATTCCTAAAAGAGAGAGAGCATAGCTTGTATTTCCTGGGCACCTAGAGAGATGGGGGTAAACCGCAGGCTTATTTTCAAGCTACCATCTATAGAGCACTTACTGCATGCCGGACCTGTTCTAAGTGTTTTACATTGGTTAGTTCACTTAATCCTTACAGCAACCCTGGAGAAGTAAGTATCTTTATTACCCACCTTGTGCCAACAAGAGGACTAAAGCAGTGTGCTTACATCAGGATCACACCGCTAGGATAGCTAGAGAATTTAGTTCCAGAACTTGTGGGCTTATGCACTCTGTATGTTCCCCCAAATCTCCTTTTGAGTGATAAGTGAGGAGCATTGGAATCCAGGCAGTTAGAAAAAACTCACAGCCTCAGAATCCAGCCTGAGCAGCCCTCAGCGCCCCATTGATATCCTGGATGACTCCGCCCAACTTCCACGTCTGACAGCTCAGTTATAGACAGTCCCTGACGTAGAAGGAGTAAAGTGCTGCCCCTTGGCTATTTTAATCCCTCAGCTGGCGACACATTATGTGTTGAAATAACCAGTGAAATGATGCAAAGGCTGTTTTTTCTAAGGCTCTTAAAATTCTGATTGGTAGGGTTAATTGCTACAACCTTGGCTCTGAATATCTCCCCACTGTTCTTTCACCCCAGTCCGGATGCAGGAAGAAAGCACTGAGCTTCCCAGACTGCTGCAGGCTGAGGGCTGGTCTTCCCGAGAACAGTGCAAATTTGAGGACTTTGAACCACACACTCAGGGACAGAACCATCAATATCTGGAATGTTTTTTCTCTGAAATTTTGATAGCACCTCCAATCAGAAATGTAAAAAAAAAAAAAAAAAAAAAGTAATAAAAGCCAAGCAGGAATTCCCTTGCGGTCCAATGGTTAGGACTCTGCCCTTCCACTGCAGGGGCCACAGGTTCCATCCCTGGTCGGGGATCTCAGATCCCACATGCTGCGTGGCTTGGCAAAAAATAAAATTAAAAATTAAAGCCAAGCAAACTCCGCACAACTTGTGGGTTGTATAGAAGTCTCACATTTCTGATCTGCCATACGTGTGGGAGTGATGTCAAATGTTGTTTTTAAAAACACTTTATCCATTTCTCAATTAGGAGTCCTCAAAGATGTCAAGAGACCAAGAATATTTGAACAGTATAAAAGCCTAGTTCCTTCACCTATTTCTTCTTTCCTTGGGTAGAAAAATAAACTATTATTTGAATTATTGGGAGAAGCTGATAGGAAAGGCTTGGCTTTTATTAAAGAGCAGAAGTGAATTATTAAGTCACCTGAGGGTTGAAAGTACAGTCTGTGTCATACCCTAAATATTTGGAACTCTAGAGCCCAGCCTGCACGTTTCCTGGGAGCACGACTGGCTTCACAGTTTCTGGGGCTTGCTGCCAGATGAACATGGAAGGGCCCTTGCTCAAAATTATTTAGAACTTTAAGACGGCACCACCAGAGCTTCAGGCTAAGTGCAGGGTTGGTCTGGGCGAGGAGCCCTTTGTGGACGTCCCTGGAGCTGGCCCTGCCTGTGTGCAGTGACCCATACTGAGTCCTGGGAGGATGGGAAAGGTAAGCCTCCTTCTCTACCAATGGAGGCCCAGGAAAGAAGCAATCGTGTGCTCCAACTCACACTCAAGAAGGCTGGAGTCAGACCACTGCTCCCAATCACCTCTTCTTTCAAGCTTGTGTTGGAATAAGAATCCCATCCAAGGGCTTCCCTGGTGGTGCAGTGGTTAAGAATCCGCTTGCCAATGCAGGGGACGTGGGTTTGAGCCCTGATCCGGGAAGATCCCACACACCGTGGAGCAACTAAGCCCGTGCGTCACAACTACTGAGCCTGCGCTCTAGAGCCTGCGAGCCACAACTACTGAGCCCACGTGCCACAGCTACTGAAGCTGGGGAGCCTAGAGCCCATGCTCCACAACAAGAGAGGCCACTGCAATGAGAAGCCCGCGCACCACAATGAAGAGTAGCCCCCCCTCACTGCAACTAGAAAAAGCCTGCACGCAGCAACGAAGACCCAATGCAGCCAAAATAAATAAATAAAAAATAAAGTTCTTGGTGAGGACTTCCCTGGTGGTGCAGTGGTTAAGAATCCGCCTGCCAGTGCAGGGGACATGGGTTCAAGCCTTAGTCCAGGAAGAGCCTACATGCCCAGGAAGATCCCACATGCCGTAGAGCAACTAAGCCTGTGCACCACAACTACTGAGCCTGCGCTCTAGAACCCGTGAGCCACAACTACTGAGCCCATGCCACAACTACTGAAGCCTGCATGCCTAGAGCCCGTACTCCGCAACAAGAGAAGCCACCGCAATGAGAAGCCCGCGCACCACAACGAAGGGTAGCCCCTGCTCACCGCAACTAGAGAAAGCAATGAAGACCCAACACAGCCAAAAATAAACAAATTTATTAAAAAAAAATCCCATCCAAGACAAAGACAAATACCATATGATATCACTTATATGTGGAATATAAAATATGACACAAATGAACCTATCTATGAAACAAACAGAATCAGAGACATAGAGAATAGACTGGTGGTGGTCAAGGGGGAGGGGTGTGAGAGAAGGTAGGAATGGGAGTTTGGGGTTAGCAGATGCAAACTGGAATATATAGGATGGATAAACAACAAGGTCCTACTGTATAGCACTGGGAACTATATTTAATATCCTGTGATAAACCATAATGGAAAAGAATATGAAAAGCAATGTATATACATGTATAAATGAGTCATTTTGCTGTACAGCAGTAATTAACATAATATTGTAATTCAACTATACTTCAATAAAAAATAAAAAAAAAAAAGAATCCCATCCCCTACCCATTCAACCAGTATTTGTGTCACTATTGGATGAATCCCACTTTCTGGAATAAAGAGGAGAGAATCAGTTCATGTTACACGTACATTACTTTTTTAAAAAATACGCTTTATTTTTTAGTGTTAGGTTCACAGCAAAATTGAGAGGAAGGTACAGAGAGTTCCCATATACATTCTGCTCTCACATATGCACAGCTTCCCCCATTACCAACATCCCCACCGGGTGGTATATCTGTTATAACTGATGACCCTACACGGACACATCATTGTCAGCCAAAGTCTATAGTTTACATTAGGGTTTATTCTTGGGGTCATACATTCTGTAGGTTTGGAGAAATATATGATGTCATGTAACCACTATTATGTATCACACGGAATAGTTTCACTGTCCGAAAAATCATCTGGGCTCCACCTATTCATTCCTCCTTCCTCTTTCTTTTTTCTTTTTGGCTGTGACATGTGGCTTGCGGGATCTTAGTTCCCCGACCAGGGATTGAACCTGCGCCCACAGCAGTGAAAGCACAGAATCCTAACCACTGAACCACCAGGGAATTCCCCCTCCTTCTTCTGAATGTTTTATACATTTTGTGTGTGTGTGCCATTTGTCAGTCTGGTGAAGTCTTTGGATATTTTCTCCCAAATAAGATTTTTAATGCATAAAATACAATAATAATTGAAGTACAAAAGGGAGTCGTATACTAAAGTTAAGAAAACATTTAAAAACAAAATTGTTAGTAATATATTTGCTTCTTCATTAGCACATTAAATTCCTAGACCTGACAGCAAGTCTAACACCTACTATAATTTTCAAGTAGTGATGATGGGCATACATGATCATTTGAAATATCTGCAGTGATTCTGATGTGCAATGAAAGTATTAGTGACAGAGCTACAGGGTCTACTGAATACAACTGTGGTTTTATCCATTTATTTTTGGCCCATATTCATAAGGGAAGGAAATGCTAGATCTCAGAGAGAGGATGATGAGAATAAAGCTGTGATATATATTTTTTCCCACCCAACCTCTCACGCCCCAGGCTGGTATTAAGCACTCGTCTGTCTGCTGGGACATAGCACACCAAGTTGCTCCCCTAAGAGCTGGCCCCTACCACACGGGCATTGGCTAAGGAGCAAACTGGTAAGGGAGGGGGGCGCTGGA